GCGCGGTGGGCTCGCGGGGGCCATCTCTGGGCCTGGCGGGCCGCGGCGGTGGAGGCGGTGGCTGCGCCATGTGGCAGCGCGTGGGTGGCTGGCGGCGGCGTGTCCGGCGCCGGCGGACAATGTCCGGCGCGCGCGAGGGGTGGATCTAGGGTTTGACGAGGGGGATCCGGATTTCAGGGAAGGGGTCTATATATAGGCATAGAGGGAGCTAGGAGAGTCCAAATGAGGTGCGGTTTTCGGCCACGCGATCGTGATAGAACGCTCTAGATGATGGAGCAGAGTTAGGTGGGTTTTGGGCCAAATTGGAGGGGTGTTGGGCTGCAACACACACGAGGCCTTTTTGGTCCCTCGGTTAACCGTTGGAGTATCAAACAAAGTCCAAATGATACGAAACTTGACAGACGGTCTACCGGTAGTAAACCAAGGCCGCTTGGCAAGTCTCGGTCCAATCCGGAAATGTTTAATCCCCACACACGAAAGAAAGCTAGAAATGACCACCGGAGGAGAACGAAGCGCCGGAATGCAAAACGGACAACGGGGAAAATGCTCGAATGCATGAGACGAACACGTATGCAAATGCAATGCACATGATGACATGATATGAGATGCATGACAACGACAACAAAACACGGGGAAAAAGACCCGAACCCAAGGAAATAAATATAACTTAACGCCGGAAACGGCAAGAGTTGGAGTACAAATAGGGAAAGTTACATCCGGGGTGTTACACTGGGTCCGTTAGTAAACTCGTTTTGCCGGTTCAGATAAAAATATTCCCTGAAGAGTTCAACACTGGGTTCTTCTTGAAGGTACACTTCACAGAAAACTTGAAAATTACAGATGTTTGACACGGAATTGGGTCCGATGTCTTGAGGATGGAGTTGAAAGAAGTGCATAACGTCTTGATTTTTTTTGGAACCGGGCGGTTAGAAGCCCCGATTCATGTGATCAGTAAAAACAATGACCTCACCATCCTTTGGCTGAGGTCTTTCTTCGCCTGGTTTGGGGGCGCACCAATGCATGATATTTTTTGCTGGTAAATAGCCGATTTTGACAAAATCTTTGAGCGTGTCTTCGGTAACAATAGAGGGAACCCAATTACATGAAGTGACTGTCTTCGGCATTGTGAAGGAAGAAGCCTAAAAGAAAGAAAATTTACCGGTTGAATTTGATTCGTTAAGCCGGAGGTAAACACTGCAGTATATATCTAGATTGGCGGCTTAAATGGGGCCTAATGACATATGGCTAGTTATAACCGGTGATGTAAGCCGCCGTGACAATATGGATATTTAAGATCTATCAAGAGTAAATTCTGCTAAGTGTTGGACAAACATGTTTTATACATTGGTGCAGTCGATTTTGGATCTGACGATGTTCGGAAAAGAAAGATAAAATCAAAGTCTAATATCACAGCGGCCAAGGAACTAGCGTATTGGCAAGATTTCTGCGTCTAAGAAGCATATTTGGTGATTAAAGGAAGGTACAAAAACATATTCCGCATGTTTTAGGTGTTATCTTTGGATCAAAATAAAGATTAAACAGAGATAAGATGAAGAACGACGACGAACTCCCAAGAACTTCAGAAACCTTAATGGAGATCGACAGTGTGGAAAGTGATGTGCTTACTAGGTCTGTTGAACAACGGAGAGGTGCCGCAGTTCTCTGGATTCGTTCAGGTTGATGCAGCGGCCGGAGTTGAGGAAGCTGACGAGCTCGGCGGCAGCGGTGCTCAGGTGTGCAGATGCGTCGCGAAGAGAGAGGTTGAAGATGAGAAGGAGAAGGGGGAAAATGAAAAGGCTGACTGACCCTATCTATAAGGAAAGGAGTAACAGTCGGGCGCGAAAATCGAGGAGGCCAAAGAATGATTATCTAGCCGCTCGGACGCCTCAATCTTCGGGGTGGTTATTAAAGATAAGGATCTATTAAGATATGCTGGGTATTCTGTGAAATTAATGGCAGATGATGTCATGGCGGGTTACAATATCTTGCAAGAACAAGCGGAGAAGGATTTTTCCTAAGTGTTGAAGATTGACATGAACAAGTTCAAATCAACCTAGGGCCTAATGTTGGGGATATAACTATCGGGTATGACCCGTCCAGGAGGGGCCGAGTTATACCAATGGTGATTTATCATCACGAAGCCCATGAAGATGTCGAAGATGACGGTTCAGGATGAAGACTTACTAAAAGGCCCAAAGACCAGAGGCGGCTTAAGGCCCACAAGTGTAAACCGCCATGTATGTATGACTTGTATCGTAAGGCAAGTGTAGTTAGTCACCGAGCCGGACACGTTGTTTATGAGCCAGCCGGTACTCTGTAAGCCGCTGGGCGTCAACCTGTGTATGTAAAGGGACGATCCGACGGCGGCTTAGGGACAAGAAACAACATATCAAAAGCTAGGTCAAGCGTATTCGCTCCCTGGTAATCGAGACATAAGCAATACCATCTCAAACTGGATTAGGCCTTTACCTTCACCGCAAGGGGCCGAACCAGTATAAATTCCTTGTGTCCTTTGTCCCGTTTAACCCCTTTAAGTTAACCTGTTGTGATGGCTCCACGACTAAGTCCTTCTGCTAGGACATCTGTCGTGACAATTCCACGACAGGACCCGTGAGCCATAGGTTCACTAGTGACATCTCTCTCGAAAGCAGGTAATGGTATGAACAAACTACTGTTTGGTAATTGGCATAATAGTGGAAATTTATAACCATGGTCATTCATGGCATAATCTACTATAGGCATTACGTTCGTGAGAATTAGACTGTTAGTCCAACTGCATATAGTACTATTACTCCACCCTAAGACCGCAATCCAGCATGCATCTCAAAGTATTAAGTTTATAAGAAACAAAGTAACAAAATAAGCAAGATGACATAATGTAGACAAGAAGAAATCTACCAACAAGATTAAACCATGTTGTTTTATCCTTAATGTCAACAATATAAAGGCGTGTCTCCTCCACGTCTCCGCCTCGATCCCCTCATCTCCCCCCCCATTCGATGACGTCATCGGGGTCAGTGGAGTGGGGAATCACGCCTTTTCAGTTTTCTTAGTTCTTGTAGGTCCTTTGTTTTCATTATAGTTGTTTCCCTGACGAAATCGATAAGATGGTAGCGATGACGACATGTTGAAATGAGGTCTCTCTGGCCTCTTCCTTACATCATGATGTTCCATCCAGCGCCGATGAATTGCTCGTGGGATTGGTGTTCTGAGTTCTACTTCCTCCGTTTTGAATTACTTGTCACAAGTATGGATATATCTAGATGTATTTTAGTTCTAGATACATTGATTTCTACGACAAGTAATTTGGAACGGAGGGAGTATTAGCTCTCTTGAGATGTCAGAAGTTGATATACTTCCTCCATTCAAATGAATAACACGCGTATGCTTTTTAAAATTCAACTTTGACGGTAAATTAGATCAATAGTATATATTTTGATGACTTAAAACTAGACCATTGAAACTTCTTTTGGTTTCTCCAGACCTGTTGACTCGAAATAAAAAAAAATAAAAAATCCACCCAATTCTGTGGTAGGCCTTCATCGGACGCACAAAGACTCAAATAGCCTTCCCCCTTTTCACCGGTCATGACTTGTGAGCTTTGACGAGGTGGTGGATGGAATGGCCTCGCCGTCGTCCCCTAGCCGCCGGCTCGCCGGATCCCTAATCCTGCGGCCAGGCGCGGAGGGGTCTCTGATCCCGGGGCTCCCGGACGACGTCGCGGCCGTCATCCTCTGCCTGCTCACGTTCCCCGACCAGTCCCGCCTCCGCGCCACCTCCCGCGCGTGGCGGCTCCTCCTCTCCGCCGCGACGCTTCTCCCGCTCCGCCGCAGCCTCCGCCTGCCTTCCCGCCACCTCGTATGCCTTTTCCCCACCGACCCATCCCTCGCCTCCCCCATCCTGCTCGACCCTGCTGCCCCCACCGCCTGGTGGCCCCTCCCGCCGATCCCCTGCTCGCCGCAGCTATACGGCCTCGCCAATTTCGCCGCAATCGCCGTCGGGAGCCACCTCTACGTCCTCGGCGGTTCTCACTTCGACGCCCGGAGTTATCCCCTTGGCCACCCCTCACCCTCCGCCGCCGCCTACCGACTCGACCTCGCCCTCTCTCGCCACCGCTGGGAGCGCCTCCCGGACATGCACATCCCGCGCGGGAGCTTCGCCTGCGCTCCCGCGCCCGGCGGCGGGGTCGTCGTCGCAGGCGGCGGGTCCAGGCACCCGACGCTCCCCTCCTCTGGCAGCCGCACAAGCAGCACCGAGTGGTACGACGCCGCCACGCGTACCTGGCACATGGCCACGGCGATGCCCCGGGAGAGGGCCGGGTGCGTGGGATTCGTGGCGCACGGGGCAGGGGGTGTGGGAGAGGATGAATTCTGGGTGATGGGCGGGTACGACAGGTATACCACAGTGGGGGGAGTGGTGCCGAATGACCTCTACTGCCGGGACGCCATGGCGCTCGGACTGTGGAGCGGCAAGTGGAGGGAGATTGGAGATATGTGGGTGGAAGGGGAGAGACGTCGACTCGGACCGGTGGCCGCCATCTCTGCAGAGGATGGGAAGGTTACAGATGTGTTCATGCTCGACGGAGACGATATCTTCAGGTCAGGCAATTTATCTCCGATTTGCTTGTAATTTGCCACAACATTAAGTATACACTATCCTGTTTGTCTTGCTTCAGTTTACAGTTTATAGTTCGTATTATTGTGTTATTGTTTCCTTAATGCGTGGTTCAATTATTTGTAATTAATATAGTTTGTTTTTCTAGATGGTGATTGAGTATACATGTCTGCCCATTTCGCTGTAGTGATCAAATTTACTAGTTAATCTCGCGTGATTCATCAATGAAGAGTTTGGACAGATACATAGTTGTTATTGTTTCACCTTGTTCTTCTATTTGGCCGTGCAATTAGTTTATTTTGGTAAGATTTACATGTGGGGGGAAATGAAGGAACAATGGGAAGCAGCTTTTCTCTTTAATTAGTTCAGCTCCCTTGTGCAGTGTCTCTCTTTGTGCTGGGTATGTGACGGTTTTGAGGACAGACTAGTGCTTCTTATCCATATAAAACGCAATTAACATGTTTGTAACATGAAAGAATACCTTGGCACTTCTCACTCCCTTTTGTACTTTCACAACTTGTTCTTAACATTGACACACATTGTCTTCTGCTCTTGCTTTGTATGAGACTTAGATCACCATGTGCACACTATCTTATTACTCGGTTTTAAGCCAACCTGAATGATGTTCTAACTCAATGTATTGGAAGGCAGCAAATATCGGCTTTGATGGGTTGTCCTCATCCTATGCTTATTAATGCCTGCTGTTCGCAATGATAAAATACTTGCAACCTGGGGTCTGACCAATAATTTAAGGGTCAAAGTTTTACTGAAAGGCTTTTGGTGTGACATTGACATATCATTTTATTTGATTTTCAACTTGTTTTTATCAACTGCTATGAGATGGTTTCCATCCTGTAAATGTATACAACTTAAAACTGGAACTTGCTTGAACAGGTACTAAATTTCTTCTGTAATCTACAAGTACCTATATACCAGTGTGTTATGAATTTGGAATAGTAGCATAACATTTGTGAAGATTTTACTTTTGTTATTATGTCTCTAAAATCTGTTAAATCTAATGGCACTTCCCTTATGCATTGTGTTCCAGTTCATTCACTAGATGACAAAATGGCAAACACCGCGAGCACTGAACTAAAAATGAATCAGATTATTTAGAACTTTGGGGAGTGCCAGCCTAACTTGCACACTAAGTTTGCATCAGATGATTTTCATGTTACTCCCTCCGTCCCATAATATAAGAAGTTTTTTGACACTACACTAGTGCCAAAAAATGTCTTACATTATGGGACAGAGGGAGTAGAAGATAACATAGTCTTGTCTAGTTGTCTGTGTTAGCACAACTCCAAACAACAATCCCAAGGGACCCCAAGAATTCTCGGTATAATCTTATTCCAACCCCCAATCCCCAATTGAACGTGCTTCAAAGATTTGTTCCACTTTTGGAAAGACCTTGCTTTATGTCTCTAGATCTTGATTTTTCATATATAAACATGACTAACCTATCTCCCTTGTAAAGGATTTCTCCATAATGACCACTAACAGTTGCTCCTGTAGCGGCCAGATAAGATTTAGCTGTTCTTATAACAAAGGAAGCCATATTTACAATGAAAATTTGACCAGATTCATAGAAATTTTTATTCACAACTACATAATAGATTATTGCCTTGTTAACATCATATGTTTGATACATGGATACGTTGGTGCACATTTTAGCAACTTCCTTCAATGCAGTTGTTTTGGGGGCTTGCTGTGATATTTGTGGATATTCTACCGTCAAATGTTGACGTCCAGTCTGGCTAATTGGTGTTGGCATGCTGTGATAGCAATGAGAGGGATAATCATGGTAGATCGAGAGAATTGGGGGAGAGGATAATTATTACTGCTTGCACGATGAGATTAGAATGCTATTGGATCGCCTAAGTATTCAACTCTGATACGTACTCATCACCATAATGTGATAAGACTTCCATTCAAGTTCGTGTTGTACAGGAGCTTCTAGGCTACAGGGTGTCATTCTTTGGGACCGTGCTAGACATTGCTGACGAAGTATTGTGCCTTCTTATTTTCTCCCGTTGACCCTCCTCTTCGTGTTCGTCCACCAGGACCCCTCTTACAGTAATGGGCCTGGCCGTGTCATATATAAAGAGGGGCCCTCGGGCTAAGGTGGCTTCAGACAGCAAAAATGTGGCTCATTTCTGCGTGTATAGAACTGGCTGGAAGTACCGGGTAAAGCCAATGTCTCGTTAGTATCGTAGTTGACAAATCAGTTCTCAATTGAAAACTGTGCAGAAATGCCAAAGGCACAACTCGGAGGTAGTGGGTGGATTTGCTTGGAAGTACCGAACCTATACTGTGGTCTACTAGAGAAGCAAGTCTAAAACTGTTCAGAAGTGCCGTGTAAAATGTTAGAGCATCTCCTACAGGTGATGTAAAAGCTGGTGCCCAAAAATGGTTTTAGGGCAGGAGAGAGAAGGTTTTTGGGCACCAGAAAATTTTCTGCCGTGACAGTGGTGCCCTAAAAATTTGGCCGTCTTCAACTATCAAACATTTTAAAGCATGTTCAACACAATATATCCAAAACAAATAGTATCAAAGTCATGCCAAATTAATCCAAAACAAATAAAACACAAATAGTACTTAATTATTACATAGCTCCACAACATCCAATTCAACACAAATTGTTCATCACACATGACATGAAACATAGAGGTAGGACTAGTTGTCTTGTTGCCCATTCCATGTCCACCACTGCTCGATGAGATCTCTTTGAAGATCTTCGTGAGTATCCGCATCTCAAATGTCATGGTAAACTTGAAGAAAGCGTCGGATATGGTCTTCCCTTCTACGCGGATGCACCGGCTTTCCGATCAATTCATAGGAGTAATCCAAATCTTTCGCATGCTCATGCTCAATGATCATGTTGTACATGATCAGGGCGGCTGTCATAATGTGCCAAAGGATTTCTTGATCCCAAAACATAGCCGGTCCTCGCACAATAGCAAACTGGGCTCGCAAAATCCTGAATGCCCTCTCCACATCTTTCCTAGCAGCTGCTTGAGCATTATGGAATTGAAGTTCTTTCTTACCTTGGGGGCTTATAATTGGCTTCGCAAGGTTGGCCAGTTCCGATATATTCCATCCGCTAGGTAGTAGCCCATGTTGTATGTGAGGCCATTTGCTTGAAACTACGCCGGTGGTGATTCCCCAAAGAGTGGTGATAGATGGAGCACATTGATGTCGTTGCAAGATGTGGGCATCCCAAAATATGCATGCCAAAACCATGTCTCCTGATTGGCCATGGCTTCGAGAATGATGGTGACATCCATCACATGTCTTTTGATCTGTCCATGCCATGCCGCAGGGCAGTTCTTCCACTTCTAGTGCATGCAATCAATTGAGTCGACCATACTGGAAACCTACGTGCTTTTTTCATCTTCAAAAGTCTCCGAGTGTCTTGAGCATTAGGTGCTCTCAGATACTCTGGCCCAAACACTTCAACCACCACCTTTGCAAATTGCTTCACACACTTGATGGAAGTGCTCTCTCCCATTGCCAAGTGATCATCAATCGAATCTGCAGGAATACCATATGCCATCATGCGCAATGCCGCAATCACCTTTTGGATAGTGCTATGTCCAAGATCTCCGATGCAATTCCTCCTTTGCTCGAAGAATTGATCATGTTGCTTCACACAGTTGGCAATGTGGAGGAACAAATCCAGAGCCATCCTGAACCGGCAGTATTGCTCTGGATACACCGGATTTGGACCAAAATAATTAACCATCAATCTATGGTGCCCATATTGCTTCCTCTTACGAATCACCTCATGGCCGACAACAGAACCACCATGCTTTGACTGCTTATTCTTCTCCATGTGCACCATCATGATCAAAGCAATGTCCTCGTCTTCATCCACCCATATTCCTTAAGCATAGATGGCGGGAGTACTTCAAGAAGCTGTTCAATGAAGAGAATGAAAGCTCTACCATTCAACTAGATGATTCTTTTGATGATACCAGCAGGCGTTTTGTGTGGCGAATCCAGAAATTTGAGGTTAGGGAGGCTTTGAAAAGGATGAAAGGAGGCAAGGCGATGGGCCCTGATTGTATCCCCATTGAGGGGTGGAGAGGCCTCGGAGAGATGGAGAGATAGTGATAGTATGGCTAACTAAGCTTTCCAACCTCATTTTTCGGGCAAACAAGATGCCAGAAGAATGGAGGCAGAGTATATTAGTACCAATCTTCAAGAACAAGGGGGATGTTCAAAGTTGTACTAGTTACCGTGGAATTAAGTTGATGAACCATAGAATGAAGCTATGGGAAAGAGTCATTGAGCACCGCTTAAGAAGAATGACAAGTGTGACCAAAAATCAGTTTGGTTTCATGCTTGGGAGGTCAACCATGGAAGCCATTTTCTTGGTACGACAGCTTATGAAGAGATACAGGGAGCAAAAGAAGGACCTACATATGGTGTTCATTGACTTGGAGAAGGCCTATGTTAAGATACTGCGGAATGTCCTGTGGTGGGCCTTGGAGAAACACATAGTCTCAACAAAGTACATTACCCTCATCAAGGACATGTATGATAATGTGGTGACAAGCGTTAGAACAAGTGATGGCGACACCGATGACTTCCCGATTAAAATAGGACTACACCCTGGGTCAGCTTTGAGCCCTTATCTTTTTTGCTTTGGTGATGGATGAGGCCACAAGGGACATACAAGGAGATATCTCATGGTGTATGCTCTTTGTGGATGATGTGGTGCTAGTCGATGATAGTCAGATGGGGGTTAATAGAAAGTTAGAGCTATGGAGGCAAACCTTGGAATTGAAAGGTTTTAGGCTTAGTAGAGCTAAAATAGAGTACATGAGGTGCGGTTTCGGTACTACTAGGCATGAGGAGGAGAAGGTTAGCCTTGATGGGCAGTTGGCACCTTAGAAGGACACCTTTCGATATTTGAGGTCATTGCTGCAGAAGGATGGTGATACCGATGAAGATGTGAGCCATCAAATCAAAGCCGGATGGATGAAGTGGCGCCAAGCTTATGGTGTTCTCTGTGATAAGAGAGTGCCACAAAAGCTAAAAGGTAAGTTCTATAGGACGACGAGTTGACCCGCAATGTTGTATGACGCTGCGTGTTGGCTGACTAAAAGGTGACATGTTCAACAGTTAGGTGTAGCAGAGATGCGCATGTTGAGATGGATGTGTGGCCACACAAGAAAGGATCGGGTCCAGAATGATGATATACGGGATGAGTTGGGGTAGCACCGATTGAAGAGAAGCTTGTCCAATATCGTCTTAGATGGTTTGGGCATATTCAGTGCATGCCTCCAGAAGCTCCAATGCATAGCGGACTGCAAAAGCGTGCTGATAATGCAAGAGAGGTCGAGGTAGAACATTGGAGGAGTCCGTAAAGAGAGATCTGAAAGACAGCAATATCACCGGAGAACTAGGCATGGATAGGGGTGGGTGGAAGCTAGCTATCCATGTGCCAGAACCATGAGTTGGTTGCGAGATCTTATGGGTTTCAGCTCTAGCCTACCCCAACTTGTTTGGGACTAAAGGCTTTGTTGTTGTTGTTGATAATGATGATGATGTTTGTACAGGGACAGGTATTGATGACTGGGCTGTGTGTCTCCTAACCAAGTGTCTTCCCAAAACCTCGTACATGGGTCATGCCAACAGAAAACAATCCCCTGCTAAAAAGTCGTCCTTGACCCTGACCAAACCTTTCCAAAAAGGCGAGTTCATACTTCATAGCCTTTACTGTCACCTGAGACATTGTTTTCCAGTGTAAGTATTTATTATGTACCAACTGTTTATATACCACCTGAGACACCGAGAAGCTTGTGACATAGAAAGATGCTTCTCCTGAAGAAGAATGCCTTAGTACACCAAACACATGGAGTAATGGAGATTAGGAGAGCATCCGCATGCAGTCACACCCTACTGGAGTGTAGAGAGCTTCACCAAGGCCTGACCAGAGACCGCCCCATGAACGCCGCTGTTGAGTTATATTTATAGCCGTGTATAGCCTTCGTATTTTCCCTGTTGTACAAGGGGCTGTCTGCATATTTTCCTCACATGTATGTTTATATATGCTGGCCTATGGCCCCATGGGAATACAAGTTGCTATTTCCCTAACAACCGCAAACCCACAGATGATAGCAAGAGCTCGATTGGCGTTCCCATTGGAAGTACCTTACTTGTATCTGGCATTGTGTTCTCCTTGCGCGTTTGCAACACACAAAATTAAGCATATCTTGGATCGTTAAGAGCAAATGAAAGGACGGTGAATGCTAATAATGGAGGCTGACTGGCAAGCATCTCTTGAGAGGTTCTAAATACAAATGTGTGATCCGTTATAGTCAAATATATGGCGTTATGGTGCTTATCTATATATCTGTGTTGCATTTTTGTTGGACAGTGTTTCTTCAATAGAGTCATGGGGTTTTCATAGCTGCTGTCCTGATCTTATTTTGGACAATCCTGTTTACATTTTGTAGACATGTTACTGATGGCAATTGCAAGTAATTCTCAGTTAAGTGGTTGCACGTTAAATGTACGATTTTGTTGACAAAGAAAGAGTTTGTTGGTCTTGCTAACATATGTTGAGGCGGGGCAATTAGTATACCATAGACAAATACTCCCTCCGTCCCAAAATAAGTGACTCAACTTTGAACTAGCTTTAGTACAAAGTAAGTTTAAAGTCGAGTCACTTATTTTGAGACGGAGGGAGTAATTGATTAGTTAATATTAAACAGTTAACTTTTGCATGCAAATGATACCCGACACTAGTTCTGATAATTATAGCTGCCATATGTGACAGAAAGGTCTAAATGGAATGAACAATATTTTCTGTAACTGGAGATTAACTTGTGCATGGGCAAATACATTCTTGAATAATTTAATGTGCTTCCTTACTTTGTTATTAGGAAGTAAAAGTATCACATTGTGCCAAAAGCTTGTACGCATATAAATTTCATGGATTAAAATATTGTAGAATATTGCTGACTTTCCAATTGTCAAATGTGGCAATGTTTTCTTGAGAGAGATGTTGCAACAGATTTCTTGGGAGAGAAGGGTATAAAAGGTTGTTTGCCATTTGGAACTGCACTGAGTCTACCAAGCAGTGGCCTCAGGCATGCTATATACATAAAGCTGATGCATAAATCCCTCCAACTATCTGGAATGCGTGAGGTTACATACAGTTTGGATTGGTCAATGTGTTATGGCAAATGACCAGTGTTTAGTACTGCCTCCATTCCGAAACATAAGAGGTTTTGGTAGGCTAAACTAGCCTACCAAAAGGTCTTATATTTTGGAATGGAGGTAGTAGTACTGTATTCAGCAAATGCAATTCAAGTGGAGAGTCCAGGGGCCAATTTTGTCTTAAGGGTGGGCTTTTTGTTGCTTTGATCTATGCAAATGTAACTTTTGTATCAAAAGGCTGTAGACTTTAACAAAATTTTATTCCCTGAATTGAAATGCTGACATGAGAGCCAAAATTTACCTTAAAAATATTATTATCAGAATCATGTAGGGTTCTGTCACCTTCTAATATATCAATCTTTCAGTTCTTACTGAAGGGCTTATCCATCTTAGTAGCAAACTGCAAACGTTCGTATAGTTTTCCTTTTTTTTTTGTAGAGCATGCGTAAGTTCTTTTACCATTCAGTTTGATTTCATACAATGTTTGTAATATGTCTTATCTGTAACCTGCAAGCCATTCTATCTAGTCAAGTGCATGTATGCCATGTATCTACTTCTGAGTTCTGAATGTTGTTTGGTGCAGGTATGACTTTGCTTCAAACGGGTGGTCGAAGGAGGCTACTTTGAGGAGAAAGATCCCAGAGACTGATCTGTGTGGCTTCGTATCATTGAACGGTGAACTGCATGTGCTTAAATCTGCCAAACTTCCTGCCGAAACCCTCCATCCTCGGAGGCAGTTAAAGAAGAGGCTGGCTTTGGAGTTTCATGTTTATAACCCGCTGGCAAGGAAATGGAGAGTGTTCACCACATATCCCCCCGTCAGTGTGCCCATCGATTTCAGAACAGCAGCTCTTTGTACAGTTGAGTTGTAGAGCTGCCGGTGCTCGTCATCTACTGTACAGATTCAGATAGCAGGGGTGCTATCGCTTGCAAATTTACATGTAAATGACGATGAACTTCTAATGATGTCGGTGGATGCCGGAGACTGTTGTGCGTACTTCGCATTGTTAAACTCTTGCAACCGTTTGTATATAAATAATAATACTGAACGGTGCACTATATAAATCAGGCGCTGTGATATGTGGTGTAAGTATGTCCGCATTCAAGGCTTGTAAGTACATTGTTTGGTGAAATCTGCAGTATGTTTCTGGTTGTGAGTTGTGGTGTCCTATTCTTTTTGGATTTTTGATAACTTCTACTCCCTCTGTAAAGAAATATTAGAGCATTTAGATCATTATACAGAGGGAGTATGTTTTTCAGATAATTGTGCAAGAGGTTTATCTCACTGAAATTTGGAACTGGGAATAGATAAAATTTGATTAACAGTGTGATGACAATTTAGTTCAAAATGTTCACGTTGGCGGGATTTGTTGCTGTGTAAAAAACAATGGGCGATTATGGGGCGTCTTTAGTAACGTGACAGAAAAAGATTAGCGGGGATGACTATCGCGGTCCTACAGTGAAGGTTATTAGAGCATCTTCAACTTGGACCCACATATGTTCGAATGTAATTTTTCAGACATAGTTTGTCATCCAGCGTGGTATCCTATCAGTCTGCAAACTGATATGGATGTCTGTTTGTTTGCAAACTGAAAGCAAACCAGGGGTGCTTAGCTGAAAGCAAACCAGGGGTGCTTAGCTGAAAGCAAACCAGGGGTGCTTAGCGTGAGTCCGGCCATCCGTGTTTGCATGCATGATTGATGGCGAAAGGTGTGTGCGTGCAACCATGCTTGATGGCTGATGGCGGAAGGTGTTGTATGCATGTATGTGTGTGCTTACATGGTTGGGGAAATGTGTGTGTGTCGTGCATGGCGAAATGTGTGTCTGATGGCGGAAGCCAGCGTGAAAATTATTTTTTAGTTACATAAAGCACATTGATGTATATGATTGAATTGGTGTCTCTCTTATTCGTATTTGCGAACTGGTAACTACTGGTCTACGGACAAATTCAGTGTTCTGTTTTGGGGTAAGCTACGAGCGCTCTAAAGCTACGGGCGACTGCTAGCGGGCAGGCCCATTTACCGCGGTAGTCGGCACGCTTGCTTGTAGCTGTCCATCGCTGTAGATTTACTCAGTTTTTTTCTTCATCTCATTGAGTTTGTTTTTTCATGGCTTTATTTGGTTTCTTTTTTCTCTTCATTTTACTTGGTTTTCTTTGTTTCTCGTTGGCTTTTATTTTTCCTTTGTTATACTTTTGGTTTTCTTTGTTTTCTTTAACTTTTTGCTTTTCTTCTTTGTTTCTTTGTTGTTTTTATCATCATTTCTTAACTCATATAGTCATATCTATTCTTTTATAGCTATAAAATGTAATTTTTTACAGCACACAAGAAACATATTTATGATAAATGTTAGACATTTTCAAGTATGATATTTTTTAAATACATGTTTATGAACACTTTTTCCAATACACGGTATCATTTTTCAAATACTAGTTGTACATTTTTAATGAAAATAAACATCTTCTTAAACTATGCAAACATTTTCTATACATTATATATATTTTTTTGAAAATTCCATGGACATTATTTTTGATACTCGCTATTATTTATTTAAAATTTCATGTATATTTTTAATGCAAATAAAAAATTAACCCACGCGAACATTTTTGACATTGTATATAATATTTTTTAAATCTCACTAACTTCTTTTAAAACGCGGTAATATTATCATAAAATGTCATGTACATATTTTAATGGTATGACACATTTTTTTCCATTATGATTTTTATTACATTGTACGCACATATATGTTTCAAAAAATTTGCATACAATTTTTTTGAAATGTGGCAACATTTTTTCATTGCTACAAATATCGTTTTTGTAAGTTATCAGCATTTTTTTAAAACTTTGCTGACACATTTTTAAATTTTCTGTTTTTACTTTCTTAAATAAATTTAAGTTTTTGTAATATATTCGTATAAAATACAAATAAAATTTTAGAAGGATATTATAGGTGTCCCCGACCTCGTGCGCGATCGGCTTGATCACCCGCTCACCGCCGCGATCCGTCTCATCTACGCCGCGCGACCGACCTTGCCCGTCGGCTATGCGCGCCTCCGCAGGTCCCGTGAAGATCGTCCCCGAGTTCAGCGCGCCTCTCCACCGATCGAGCATCGGGCTGCCGCTGCGTCGCCCCGTCGGGCTGCAGCGCCGCTGCCCCATGGTTCTCCTCGTGGCTGCATCGACTCGTGCGTCGTCGCTGCGTCGCCCCTTCGGGCCGTAGTGCTGCGATACGCGTTCCACGCCGCCGCCCCGAGGCCATCCCCGCGGCTGCACCGACTCGCGCACCGCCGTTGCGTCGCCCCTTCGAGCCGTAGCGCCGCGGCCCGCGGTCAGCTCCGCCATCATCGCGCGTCGACCTCCCGTGGTATGCGCCGCACCGTCTTCCTTGGCGCGGGAACGCCACCGTCCGCGTCGGTCTTCGTCACGCTGTCAGGGTTCTTCGCCTACTTCGAGCACCGCCGTCGCACTTCTAACCTAGCCGCCGCCGCCGCTCTTCTTTGGCCGCCGCCGCGGCTACCTCCGTAGCTGCCGCCGCCGCCCGTCCTGCCCGTTCGTCTTCGTCCAGCACCAGCCCGTCGCCAGCGTCGTCGTCATCTACCCCGACCACTTCGTCTACTCCGACCATCGTTGGTGACATCGGCACCACGTCGATGGGCGCCGCAATCGTCGTCGAGTTCTTCTCTGCTGGCCCCTCTGACTTCTCCGACATGGCGTACAGCTCATGCAGGTCCCTCGTCTACGCATGCCCGGTGCTGGAAACACCGATGCGTGCCTTCATCCACGACGTGTCCCCGGGCCTGGCAAGCCTGGTCGGCGCTTCGTCAACTTCGTCTTCGTCCGTCTACGCATGCCCGGTGCTGGCAACACCGATGCGTTCCTTCGTCCATGATGTGTCCACGGGCTTGGCAAACCTGCCACGACGCGTCGTCAACAACATTTTCTTCCCGGCGCACCCCTACTTCGACACCACTGTGCCCATGCTAACTCGGCGCCCTCTTGCGCCCGCGGCTCCACGGCGACTTCCTCGACACCGGCCACCCTGACTCGACTTCGACCACGACATTCGTCGCACTGCTACCTCGACCACGGCTCCACCACCCACGCTCTCGGCTACATCGACAAATGGCACAAAGGGCTACCGCTTGCTTGAGCAACCTCGTTGGTTTCCACTCCAGCCATGACTCCGCGATGTGTCGACCGTTACGACTGTGGGGGGGTGTCCGTCAGCTTGCCTTCGGATTCTTCTCCAGTCTCACCGTCTGCATCGCTACCGTTGTGACTGCGGGGGGATGTTGAGTAACGTGATTGTATTAGGAAATATAGGTTAGACTAGGAAATATTCTGGCTTGCCTTGTACTCCAAGTAGATCATGTACTCTTATATATATGCCCATGAGGCTCAAGCAATACAACGACTATTCCACCAATCCCTCTCTCCCTTCTAACAGTTAATCCTCAAGAGGCTCTTTTTTGTTGTTATTCCCGCAAAATGCAATGCGGAAAGCAACTCGCAACAAAGGCGCCGCTGGCAACGGATACATGCTTAGCAATCTGCCCAATGACCTTCTGCTTAACATTCTTGACAGGGTGGACACTGTTGGAAATATGCCCTAGAGGCAATAATAAATTGGTTATTATTATATTTCCTTGTTCATGATAATCGTTTATTATCCATGCTATAATTGTATTGATAGGAAACTCAGATACATGTGTGGATACATAGACAACACCATGTCCCTAGTAAGCCTCTAGTTGACTAGCTCGTTGATCAGTAGATGATTACGGTTTCCTGACCATGGACATTGGATGTCGTTGATAATGGGATCACATCATTAGGAGAATGATGTGATGGACAAGACCCAATCCTAAGCCTAGCACAAAGATCGTGTAGTTCGTATGCTAAAGCTTTTCTAATGTCAAGTATCATTTCCTTAGACCATGAGATTGTGCAACTCCCGGATACCGTAGGAATACTTTGGGTGTGCCAAACGTCACAACGTAACTGGGTGGCTATAAAGGTACACTATAGGTATCTCCGAAAGTGTCTGTTGGGTTGGCACGAATCGAGGCTGGGATTTGTCACTCAGTGTGACGGAGAGGTATCTCTGGGCCCACTCGGTAGGACATCATCATAATGTGCACAATGTGATCAAGGAGTTGATCACGGGATGATGTGTTACGGAACGAGTAAAGAGACTTGCTGGTAACGAGATTGAACAAGGTATCGGGATACCGACGATCGAATCTCGGGCAAGTACAATACCGCTAGACAAAGGGAATTGTATACGAGATTGATCGAATCCTCGACATCGTGGTTCATCCGATGAGATCATCATGGAACATGTGGGAACCAACATGGGTATCCAGATCCCGCTGTTGGTTATTGACCAGAGAACGTCTCGGTCATGTCTGCATGGTTCCCGAACCTGTAGGGTCTACACACTTAAGGTTCGATGACGCTAGGGTTATAAAGGAAGTTTGTATGTGGTTACCGAATGTTGTTCGGAGTCCCGGATGAGATCCCGGACGTCACGAGGAGTTTCGGAATGGTCCGGAGGTAAAGATTTATATATGGGAAGTCCTGTTTTGGTCACCGGAAAAGTTTCGGGGTTTATCGGTAACGTACCGGGACCACCGGGAGGGTCCCGGGGGTCCACCAAGTGGGGCCACCAGCCCCGGAGGCTTGCATGGGCCAAGAGGGGAAGGGACCAGCCCCTGAGTGGGCTGGTGCGCCTCCCACAAGGCCCAAGGCACAGCTAGGAGGATAAAGGGGAAACCCTAGGCGCAGATGGGCCTAAGGCCCACCCTAGGGCGCGCCCCCTTCTCCCCATCTTGGCCGCCCCCCCTCCATCCCATCTAGGGCTGCCGCCC